CTGAGCTCTGGCCTTGCCACGGGCCGGGGAGACCCCCGGTCGGGACTGAGTAGAACCGCGCCTAGGGAGTCTTTTCGCAGCGCTGGGGATCGCTCCAGCACAAGCGCTGCGCCTTCTAACGAAACTCTGACTAATGTACCCAAAAAACACGCACATGCGTGAGATTTCTTAGAAAAAACAGTCTGATGCTAATGGGTTCTTAGAATTCGTTTACATAGTCTGAGCGCGCGTAGTAAAACTAGAGTGAGGGTCTTCTCCCCTCCTTAGGGGTCCCCACGGCCTACCTCACGCTGTCCCTCAGGAAACTCCAGGTCTCTCCTGTCCATCTCTGCTCATGGAGTTACTTCATCCGTCCTCCAGCTCCAGTTTGTTCCAGCTTTCAGTCACTTCTCTTTGACACTGGTGTTTTCTTAGGCCCTTGTTTTCTTTAGGTTCCTGCTATTAGGGATGTACTCAGGGAGTTCTTCAGACTGTCCAAGGTCTGTCTTATCTTTACTAGGCAAGGAGTTAAAGGTTTTAAAACATAAGTGGGTAACGACTACAGAGGTAGTTAGGAAAAAGTAGAAATGAAATTATAGACATTACAGTAAAATACAGGGAAAAAAAACGGGGGGAAAAAAAAAGCTAGTAAAACATAAGTGATGTCTAACATGAAAATTAAATGTCTGATTTTACAGGTCCCTGTACATTAGCAATTTCAAGTATACTTGTAGCAGCTTCCCTTCACGGCTGCGCCTCCTTGTTCCCAGCCCATGTCTCCTGCACACACGCGGCAATCTTGGATGAGCCAGTGATGCAGAGAGAAAATAAAAAAGGTCGTTAAAGCCACTGTGTCAGCCCTACCAAATGCAGAGGTGTGCCGACAGCTCCAACAGACCACTGCTGTAATCTGCCTCTGTGTGGCAAGTGCTTTCCTACACCACATGTTTACTAGCTGACTTCTCGCTGAATCACTGGGTGATGCAGAAAACTGGAAGCTCTCTGAGGACAGCAGTCAAAATCATGGCAATCAGCAGGAGGATAAGAAGCAGCTGTTATAACGTTTCTACGTGGGCTTCCAGGGGAGGGAAGGATCAGCTCTGAATGTGAGATGGAAAAACATGAGTTGCATTTTCCAGTTGCAATCACTGATGTTCATCCGTGTCCAAGTGGGCTTGGTATGATGATGGTACAGGGAGAAGTGATGCTGTTGAGTACCTATGAGCTAACCTTGCAGCTTACCTCAAATTCTGCTTTAGAGAACATGCACCAAAACTATCTTAGACTATATGAAAGTTCCTCGTTTGCATTATCCAGGCCCTGGACTAGTGGATGCGAGGCCAAGAAACAGAATGACTTGAGATGTGCAACAAAAAAAGTGCATCAGTGAAAAAAGCTCAGGCAGCAGAGGAGCTTTATACAGGGCGGGACTGAGGTTTGCTGCAGAACCAGATCAAAAACCTGAAATTTGTGCATCCTGCCTTTTGTCTTTTCGTTGATGTTCCTCTTTCAAGGTGTTTCATCCTCTCAGTCATCCTGTAGAGGTAATGTTAGCAATGATTCGCCCTGTGGGACAGTTTGACTTGCTTGTGTTTTATTATATTACGACAATTGCAAGAAGTGTGTTTATAAATGCATCAGTGCACAGGGGCGGGCCTGCCAAAGGAAAGCTGGCACTTGTAAGGTGTTTACACAACAGTCCGAAGAGAAACAGTTGGCAAAGCAATACTCACCTGAAGGCACTGCAAAAACTTCATGGATTTAATTCCTACCCACCTAAAATCATAGAACAGTTTGGGTTGGAAGGGACCTTCAAAGATCATCAAGTTCCAACCCCCAGTCGTGGGCAGGGACACCTTCCTCTTCTTTCACCTCACCAAGAAAATCAAGTTTAAAAAAAGAGCAGCAATGGCCACTGTCACTAAGCACTTCCTCAGCATCATTCGGCTTCCAGTCCTGGGGGTGTGACCCGGCTGGGGTTTGTTATCTCCCGCTGTGGGTGACAGGCTACAGGAGGGCAACTCCGCTGCCTGACACGGCAAGTTACTGACAGGGGGCCGGCTGGGAGGCCTGGAGCACCAGCAACGGGAGGTGTTTGCCATCTAGTGGCTTTGTCAGGTCAGCTTTGGCATGAGCCTCTCCCTCTGCCTTCTCCCAGTGCTGCAGCCCTGGTGTACAATCCTTGTTTCTCTCCCTTGTCTTTCCCCAAGACCTTTTCCCAATTGCGGTAAAGAAAGGTCAGAAAGGAGATAATGCTAGGTTGTTTGGGTAGCGTGAGTCAGCTCTGAGTTGGTTTGGTTCTGTCTGGGCTGCCTCCAGGACATCAGGAGTCAAAAAAAAAAAAAGCAAAACAAGTTTGCAAATAGGAAGCAAGGGCTTTCCTTCAAACCCTAGGGCACAAGGGCTCATCTTTTGCTCAAGGACATGGTTCAAAACAATCTCCAGTCTTCTCAAAATGAAGCAATATAAAAAGTCCTTAAGCCAGGAGAGGAATCCGTTTTCCTGGCAGCCTTCACTTTTCAGTGTCCTAAAGGCAGAGCCTGCAAGTGAACTGTTACAGAGGGCTCCCTGCAACACACCTATCCACCTACACCTCAGAGTTCAACAACTGCAGGAGCCTGGATGAGGAAGGAAAGCATATGAGAGTTTGATCTGCTCAACTTCAGAGCAAAGGGATATCAAAGCCACAGTGGAGCTGTACACGTTTCATCCTGGCTGAACTACGAGGAGGGCAGGAGCTGTTAGCATCAGAGCTGGACCCAGGGATGCTGCTTAAGCAGGACCACGGTGGAGACATGTTGTGCATGTCTACGGGACCATGTAGCATAATAAGGTGCATGTCAGGGTTGCACCTTGTCTCTTGTGGCACAGCACAAAGTTGGCCAAGGGTCCGGTGAGGGCAGGGAAAGAAAGGAAGAAACTTCACAAGGTTTTATTTGAGGGCACTGTCAGTGTACAGAGGAAAGCACAAGTACAAGATGGTTGCATCGACCTTCTGGAATTTACTGCAGGCAATTTTTATGCAATTGGGCCCACCTGTTACTAGCTGGTTTTACTCCTCTCTTCTGTTTTACATATTTCAGCCAAAGTCACTGCCCTAAGCACCGATATTCTCTTCCCTTCAGAGATCATTGCCACCACCTGAAGGTAACGGTCATATGAGTTTCCATTTCCTCCCTTGCAAGCCTTACGCATGGCAGGCTGTGTGGTCTATCAATATAGTCAGAAAATTAAGATAAAGCAGTGGGCTGTTTGAGTGGAGGGCCTTCTGCCTTCCTCAGATGCTTTGCTGTATGTTGTTAGGAATACAGCAGTAACTCAGAGGTTATGATGGAGACAAAGCAGTTCCTTCATCCAGGGCATCATACGAAGGTGGGAGGTAAAAGAAAGCTGAGGTTTCTTTCTGAGCCTGACCTGGCCCTGAGTGACAAGGTGTTCAGTTAGCGGGAAGTAAAAATGCCGTGGAATCCATAAGGCATTTGCACTGCAACTTCTGCTCGCCCTAATTCTGTGAAGGTCTCTGCATCCAAGACAAGCAGGAAAGCACTTTGGTTCTGCAGGGTAAAAAAAGAAAGCTGCAATGAATGCCCAGGCTGCACTTCCTTCTGCTGTCCGACCCAGTCCATCTGCCACACACCAAGGAGCCCAAGTGTACAACCAGGCCATACAGTCACGTACAACCAGGCCATACAGACTAAACCTGTCAGACAGTTGGCCAGGAGCACTAACAGTCACAGCTGCCACTCAAGAAATGATGACATTCCAAGGTCCACTCCGACTTGAGGTTTGCCTGGCTGTGGCTGGCAAAGAGGCACACACCTTGGGGAGCAGGGTGCTAGAACTATCTGCCAGAGCACCTCAAATTCAGTTTTGTTGTTTGGAAGGGATATCTAACGCTATGGGACTAGTAGCAATAAGTTACCTCAGTGGGGGAGACCACAACAGACAAGATGACTCCGCTGTCTTCTGCTGTAGCATTAGGCACTGGCACAAACACAGGCTCTGATGGGTAGGATCCATCCTCCTGCCAAATCTAGCAAGCACAGTAACATATGAATGTGTTTCTTTTCATTAATATGTCTGCTCCAGTTAGCAGAGTTGCAAGTTGGAGTGCTCCCCACAAAGATATCCAGGCATACTCTGTGCTCCAAGAAATCTATAGTTCAACCTTTTAATTAATTCTTTTGCTCTCAGTAGTATGATGGTGCCATTGTTGTGACAGCATGCCCATTGTGCCAGGCATCATGCAACCAGGCAGTGAAAAGGGTTCCTATTACTTATTTCATCCAACAGTTTGTGCTGGCACAGGTATAAGCTACAAGCTCAGAAAAAACCACCACCCTAGATGGCACAGCCACCTTCACAGCACCCTAGTCCAGACCATGTTGTGCCCAGGCAGTGGAGAGAGAGAGTCTCTATCACCATCACCACCTGAGGGCATAGCTGCTGCTCCTATGGCAGGC